TGTACTTGCTTTTTCAACACTTCGTGTACATGTTTTACATGCTTGTGTGTAAGAAATTAGTTTCGTTTTGATACCCTTTCCCTCTTATATTAAGTTTTCTTTATGTAATTTGTTGATGGTTTGATGCAGAAAACTGAAACAATGGAGCACCACAATGAGACTGGATGCCAAGCTCCGGAGGGTCCAATCCTCTGCATCAACAACTGCGGCTTCTTGTGCAGCCACCATGAATATGTGCTCCAAGTGCCATAAGGATCTTGTATTGAAGCAGGAACATGCTAAGCTGGCGGCATCATCCATCGACAGCATTGTGAATGGAAGTGGGAGTACCAGTGGAAAAGAGCCACTTGTTTCGGCCAGTGTTGATGTCGCTGTTGCTTCAGTGGAGCCAAAGATCATTTCAGCACAGCCATCTGATGCTTCTGTCTCTAGCGAGAGCAGCGAACCAAAGGCGAAGGAGGGTCCAACCAGGTGCAATGCCTGCAAGAAAAGGGTAGGCTTGACTGGCTTCAATTGCCGGTGTGGAAATGTATTTTGCGCGATGCATCGCTATTCGGAAAAGCATAACTGCCCATTTGATTACCGGACGGCTGCTAGAGATGCAATTGCCAAGGCCAACCCTGTTGTCAAGGCTGAGAAGCTTGACAAGATCTAGAGATGAAAAAGAGAAGATACCGAAGTCATGATTCAACTCTCCCTTTTCTATCTATGCCCTTTCTTTCTCTGTTGGCTGCTTGTTTTCATTGGTGTCCTTTATCCACATAAATGGCTGGAGGCATGACGATGATGCCTTAGGGCATCTTTGCAGTCTCGAAGAACTCGTTATCTGGTTGATTGGTAGAAAAGGTTTGCATGTTCTGTCTAGTGTGTAAACTTTTTTATTTGGTGATGGTCTGATGGACGGTTATGTGTCTATGAATTGGTTATCTTTGTAATCTGCTATCATAGTTCATCTCTTACACTTTAGCACCTCGAATGGTGTGAAAAAGTGCATTCTATCTCTGTTACTGTTGTGTTTTGAACTTTTGAGGTTTCTTTTAGCACCACCAAAGCATTTAGAAAACACATCACAAGATTCCAGCTGTATAATTTCTAAGTTAGGAGCTGTTTGGATCAGTTTTTTGTATCGGTAAAAGAGAAGAAAACTGCCAAAAATGTCAGCTTTTTGACACCTTTTCCCCAAAATCGCCTCTTATAGAGGCGATTTTGGGGGAAAGCTGTCAAAAAGCTGACATTTTGGCAGCTTTCCCCCTCCTTTCCCCTTCCAAAAACCGGAACCAAACAGCCCCTAATGTCTTTGCAAGTAGTAATCCTCTATCCTCAGGGATACAGAGAATGATTGCGCTATATTTATTATCGCTTAACATTTCAAATGGACCCCTGGTCTTGGAGCTCTGCATTTGTGTATGTTGTGTTCATTCAGGTGCCGATGCACATACATGCACCTGTGAACTGTCTTTATGTATACTTTAGAGCATTTTGTTGGAGGAGTGATGTTTTAGCTTTTGACGTTTATTGTTGACTTGGTTAATGGGTAAGAGTAACAGAAATGCTTACTTAAGCAATGTACATTGGGATTTCCCTCAGAAAGGGAACGCATGGGATCCTTGTGGTGAGGTCTATTTATTAATTATGCTTCTATGATTGGTATTTTGGGTTGTTTGACACGAATTTTAAGTATTTTCTTTATGAATCTCAGTACATTAAATCCTTTTTTATCTTTGTGAAATTGGTAATCTAGGCTGTGAAATTGATAAGATAGCAATGCCTTTTCAATTATGCGCATTTTTTTCTAAAGCCAAGTTGCTCATCTGACTTGGGAGTTTGACAAATGTTCATTGAAACGTGTGTGTGTGTGTTTTTAGGTGACTTGGGACTAATATCTAAAGCCAAGTTGCTCATCCTTTTTTACAGTTGAATTTCATTTAGGTGTCTTTTTTCCCCTCAAAACTTATTAGGTTGTTCTGCATTCTATTGCAAAATTTTGGTATTTGGTTTTTAGATATTAGTCCCTTAAATCTTCCGCACTTCGAAATTTGTCCCTCAAATCATGGCTTGCTATTAGGTCCCTTAATCTATTTTGAAATTAGTCCCTCAAATCATTGAATTTTCTATTAAGTTTCAAAAATCTCAAGTCATTTTGAAATTAGTCCCTCAAATCAAGAGTAAGAACAGCAAATAGAGACCAATTGCTCGCTTAAAATCACTGAAATCGTGATCAGATTCCCAAATTCTCGTAAGTCATTTTAAATTAATCCCTCTGGTTCCTACTTTTATTCTTCATTGGAGGGACTGATTCAAAAACAGCTTAAGATTTGGGGGCTTAACAGTAATTTCCATGATTAATTTGAGGGACTATTTTTAAAATAACTTTAAGACACGAGGGATGTAACTTCCATGATTTGATGAGAACATGTTTGAATGACGAAGAATAATAAATATAAAATGAAAGAAAAAGAGAGCACTCTCTACTTCTTCCAGTGGTTTTTTGTTGCTAAAAAATTGTAGCGTAGAACAAATTAACACAGTAAACAAAATGGTTTCATTTATTCATTTCATAAACGAGGGGGAACAAAAAATACACCAACCTCCAACCAACCAATGTCTCAAACCAAACAATAAGGGAAATAGTGAATCATAAATAAGGACATTAAACAAATTACGCCACAAATCATTCCCTAATTGCATTGTTAACCCACAACTTAATTAACTCTCATCTCCTTCGTACTGATCTCTTGTTACTGCAAGTAGAGAGCAAGGAAAGAGAGAGCAGAGGCTCCGATGAGAGCCCCGACGGCCGGGCCAACATCGAACGATGCGCTGGTGGGGGCTGCCATCGCAGTGGTCGCTGAAGCTGCGGCGACGAGGACGGCGCAGACCATCTTCTTCATCTCCATATCTCTATAGGAATTTTCAGGCTGATGATTATAAGGGTTTTTGGAGAAGAGAATGGAGTTTTGCGTTGTGAAAGCTTGAAGAGAGAGGGAGGAGGAGGGAGGGTTTTTATAGTGGGAGGAGGGTGGGAGCTGGAGTTGTTAATAGTTTTGAGGTGATTAGTTTATTGGATTGTTATTGTTAAGATTTTTTTTAGAGGGGGTTTGGTGGCCTCCATGTGTTTGGAGATGGGGTTTTATATATGTGCTTGCATGTGGGAAAGTGTTCTATTGGATTTGGGTTTATGAGGAGTTTACCCGTAATCAAACCGGATCCATATGAAGGATACCTGGATTCGGGTTAAGTTGGTAGTGGTGCAATACAAATGTCAGCTTATCATATCCATATCTATTCACTATCACCGATACACATAGGAATACAAATACAGAAAACGGTTATCCGAATCCTACTAAAATAATAAAATATGACGAAATAGGAGACGTTATTATACACAGACGCGAAGCCATGTTATACAATGTAAATCGTATGACCAACAAATTATAGGATATTTGACTACAGATCTGGATATTTTATTCTAATATCTTATAAGATGTAGATACTTTGTATCCATATTCGTACTCATATACCCGCAAAATCCTGTAAGTTGGATGCGTGTCCTTATCGGATCTGGATTCATATTATTGACCATCCGAACTTAATAAGCGCAAGTTATTGGCCTCGGAATCCATCATACATAAATTGGTAATTTGTAAAACAAATAGGAAGAAGGTGAACAGGCTGTTGTGGGCCCAACGTATGCTGTTCCTTTGAGGAAGCCCACCAACCCAATAGAAATGTAGCAAGTAAAGAAAACTGGAGCCCACTTAAGGTTGTTAACAGCCCAGAAGCGAAGTTGACCCGAATCATTTGCAGGTGTGCTAATGTTCTGGAATTATGAAACATTCTTTGAGATGACAGAGTAGAAAATTGCCTTCTGGTTGGCTGCATGTTTTTATACGGCAAAAGAACCAGCACCGAAGGATACGGCACCCACTTTTCCACCCACAAGACCTATATAAAAATTTATAAGGAGTTAGATTGAGACTTATTACTGAAATTTCACAATTCAAAGTTGGTGAGGGCATTAATTCCAATCTCATTTATACTGATATAAAATTCGATCAATATCGGTATTTACTATTTGCAATGGTCTAAAATTCATAGCAAGTGTTAAGATACATAATTCATTTTATTCCTTTCCTATATGTTTGAAAAAAATCATAGGAAGCATGAAAGTAATAAAATAGGATTTTTTTATTATATTGATTTAGAATCTATTACTAGATAGTTTTCTCCTCCTTGTATACGACTTCCTATTGAGCGCCCTCTACTAGATTTCTGTTAGCTTGACTCAGTCATGGTGACCAAATCAACGATTCTCAGTAGAGAGAATTGTGGAACGTGAAAACGTGGAAGAGTTGTTGAGAGAAAATCTCTCATTGGGGCGGATCTTGGGGGGGTGGAGTTAGTGGGTTCATCCCCTATAAATGGAGGAGTAATTCTCCTTGAGAAATCACAACGAAGAAGGTGAAAAACCTCTTACCCATTAGCGGAACCCCTCTCAATATCTGTTCTTCCTTCTTCTCTGAGTTCAAATACTGGTATCAGAGCACGTCGATCTCATCGCCGCCCCCTTGGAGCTCTGCGTCAATCGGCCACCTCGACGACTCTGCTGCGACGATCGATCGACGACGACGACGACAACTCGACGACCCTTGCTGCTTCGATCGACAACGACGATGATCGACGATGACAACAAATCCGCGCCGATCTCAACTCAGTCGTCTCCATCCTCGGCGATTAACAGAGACATCAGCCGCCCCTTGCAATTTTACGGCGTAACCCTAGCTCCCAGCTCGAGATCATTTTTTAACAGCTTCAGTAGGGCACGAGTGGGGCACTCGTTTTCTCAAGAGCCGAGTTACAAAGCCAGGCCCAATTACCACAACCAGCAAAGCCCATCCACTTTATTCGTTTAATCAAAGCCAAACCATTTCATTTTTTTTGAATCAAAGTCAGGCCCATTCAACCTCACGTTTTAGAAACTAAGGCCACTTCTCTCTATAAAAAAATATCACTTTAGTCCTTTACAATTCAATATTCTGTTTTCAATCATTTTGGGTTGTTCGAACAATTCTTCGCAATTTCTATTCGGTGTAACTCCACAACAGCAGCAGATTATCTCCAAATCCAGTCAGAAACGACGCCAAAACTTCGATAAGAGATTCTTCGGTCAACACCGCTAAGCGACAATCTCGCTCAAATTGGAGCCTCTTTCATCAACTCGGAACAATCAGGTTCATTTTTATTTAATTAATTAATTTATTTTAACTTTATTATTATTTAGTATTATTGTCAAAATATCAACCTTATACAAATATTTAAAATTGAATTTAGTTTTAGTTCTTTACCGAATGGCTAGTAAACTCGTTCTATCAGAACTAGGCAAAATTGACAAATTTAATGGCAGTAATTATGATATATGGCATAGAAAAATAGGATATGCTCTTATTCATGACAACATTGATGATATAATCAAAACCACTGCTCCAATCCTTACTGATAAATCTACACCTGAAGAAAAGAAAGGGTTTGAACAGTGGAAGTCGAAAGATAAAAAGGCGAAAAGTCTTATGCTCATGTTCATGGAAGATAACTTAATCAAAGTTTTTGAAACTTATAAGACTTCCATGGACATGTGGAATGCAATAAAAAAAATACGACACTGCTTCTGAAGTTAACATTCAACTCCTCTTGCATAAGTATAATTCTTGTCGTATGCAAGAGGGAGACAATGTCGTAGAGTATATAAATAAAATGATTGTCATGGCTAAGGACTTATCCACTGCTGGGACCGAAATCCTGAAAAGAATGCAAGTGGCAACCATTTTGAATAGTCTTCCCCCTTCACTTGTTGTGCCTGCCACCACATTAAGAATGAATCCTGCCATTAAGTCTGTCACTGATCTTCCTATGCACCTAGCGATAGAACAGAACTTAATAGCCAGTAGGAAGGAACCAGAACTGAATATGGTATAGCAGGAGCTGAGTTATGTCCGCCAGATGCATAATACCGGAAGCTATAAAAACCCTGGTTCTAGTAAACCACAACCACGAGGATCGAAATAGCAGTAGTTCAAGAGAAAAAAAGTACCCCGCAGAGCCTGTTACAATTGTGGAAAGTTCGGGCATTTCAAACCCAATTGCCCACAAGGTGAAAAGCAGGAGAATAAGGGAGGCTATAAGCATCCAGAACAAGGGGGGACTAGCAAAAGAGAATTCGTCGGAGTGGTTGGTGGATCGACCCCGGTGCGACTAGGCATATCGCAAAGGACAAGAATGGAGTCGTAGAATTCACCGAGCTGAAGAAAGGAGAACATAGAATCTATATGGGAAATAATACCTATCTCGATGTAGAAGGTATTGGTTCGTATAGATTGGATCTTGGGGACAACATTCTTGTCCTCAAAGATGTGTTCTATACGCCAGGAATTCGACGCAATCTGATCTCTGTTTCAGCTTGATGAAGAAAGGACTGGAAGTGAGGTTCTATAATAACAGGGTTTCTATAGGCAAGAATAATAAAGTGTATGCTATGGGTAAATATGTGCCCGAGCATGAATTATGCATTCTTCCAGTAGTTTGTAATAATTCTGATAATAAAATTTCGAATTTGAACTACTTGTCTTATTATATTTCTAAATCTGAATTGTGGCATTCTAGACTAGGACATGCTAGTATTTCAAAAATAAAAGAAATTATCAAAATGAACTTGCTTCCTGTACTATCTAATGTTCAATTGCCACCATGTGAACATTGTTTAACTGGTAAAATGACTAGAAAACCTTTTGTTGGCGGACATAGAGCCAATGAACTTTTAGGGTTGATACACTCGGATATTTGTGGTCCCTTAAGTGTCAAAACTCATAGTAATAAAGAATATTTTATTACTTTTATAGATGATTATTCCAAGTTTGCACACGTCTATCTTATATCCAGAAAATTAGAAGCTTTTGACTGTTTTAAGAGATATAAGACAGAAGTTGAAAACCAACTTGGATTGAAAATCAAAATTTTGAGAACTGATAGAGGTGAGAAATATAACTCTAAAGAATTTGAGAGTTATTGTATTCAGCATGGAATTAAAAGGCATACAACAATGCCATATACGCCACAACAGAATGGTGTTGCTGAAAGAAAAAACAGAACATTACTTAATGTAGTTAGATGCATGTTGTCTCATTCTGGTCTCTCTAAAAACTTTTGGGGAGAAGCATTGTTAACTGCAAACTACATTTTAAATAGAATTCCCATCAAAGTAGTAGTATCTGCACCTTATGAATTATGGAATGGGAAGAAACCTAATTTGAGTCATCTCAGGAAGTAGGGATCTATAGCCCATGTTCCCATTCCATGTCAACTTAGAGATAAGTTGGATTTTAAAATAATAAAGTGTAGATTCATAGGATATTCAGAAAAGTCAAAAGGTTATAAGTTCTATAATAAAGAAAAAGGAGTCATTGAAAGCAGAGATGCTACATTTCTAGAGAATCTAGAGGAAGAGGAACAAGTTCGAGAGGAAACATAACCTCTAACTGTAATAGATGATGATTATTACAGTGTTGTTCCTACTAATGACTCTGATATTGTGAATGAACCTAACCTTGAAAATAATGAAATACCTATGGAAAATAATGTACCTAATCAACCGGTTGTAGGCAACAAAAGGGCAAGAACACAACCTTCATGGATGGATGATTACTATTTGTATTCATGTGGGCCATCCTATTTCTCGGTAGATACAAATGTAGAAGAACAATATCTCTTAACCTTTTCTGATGCGATGAAATCGCATGAATCAACTTTATGGCTAGAATCTATGAGAGAAGAACTTGATTCTATAGAAAAGAATAAGGTATGGGAGTTATGTGATCTACTAGAAAATAGAAAAGCCATAGGATGCAAATGGGTGCTCAAAAAGAAATATCGTATTGATGGATCTATTGATAAATTCAAAGCACGGTTAGTTGCCAAAGGTTATAACCAGAAGGCAGGAATAGATTTTCAGGAGACGTATTCTCCTGTAGCTAAATTTGCATCTATTAGAATTATTTTGGCTATTGTTGCATATTTTGATTTGGAGTTATTCCAAATGGATGTTAAAACTGTATTCCTTAACGGAGAGTTGAAGGAAGCAATATACATGCAACAACCTGAAGGTTTTCAGGTGAAAGAATAGGAACATAAAGTTTACAAATTAATGAAATCTCTATATGGTTTAAAATAGTCTTCTAGACAATGGTATCTCAAATTTCATGATGCAGTTACTAAACTTGGTTTTATTCAAAATAAATTAGATAATTGTGTATATGTCTTGAAAAGTGGGAGCAAGTTTACTATATTGTCATTATATGTGGATGATATATTGCTCGTTGGAAATGATATAGAAATGTTGAATAAAATCAAGACAGATCTCAGCGAAAAGTTTGAGATGAAAGACATGGGAGATGCATCATATATTCTTGGAATTCAAATAATTCGAGATAGAAAGCCTAGAATGCTAAGTTTAAACCAAGAAAAATATTTAAGATCAGTTCTTAAAAGGTTTGGAATGGAGAATTCCAATCCGGCACCAACTCCGTTGGTTATGGGAAAGAGATTATGTAAAGAGCAAAGCCCTGGAGAGGGGTAGAAGCCTTTAGATGTTCCTTATGCTCAAGCAATTGGAAGCTTGATGTATGCAATGTTGTACACCAGACCTGATATAGCTTATGCTGTGAGTCTAGTCAGTCGATATCAAAGTAATCCAGGACCAGCACATTGAGAAGCTGTTAAAAGGATTATGAAGTATATTAGAAGTACATTGACTCATAGATTAGTTTATCAAGCTGAATCGCTTGAACTCCTCGGTTATTCTGATGCTGATTTCGGAGGTGATAAAGATGATGGAAAGTCCACTTCGGGACACTTATTCATCTTTGGAGGAGGAGCTGTTTCTTGGAGTAGTAAGAAACAAGGGTGTGTTGCTAGATATACGCAAGAAGCTGAATATATAGCTTGCAGTATGGCAACTACACATGCTGTCTGGACAAGATGATTTTTGATTGATCTTGATCTCAATTTGTTAGAAGGACCTATTGATATTTATTGTGATAATCAAACAACAATTAGCTTAATCAATAGTGGCGCGAATAGCTCCAAAGGAAAACATATTGAGATCCAGTATCACTATATTCGAGATATTGTAGAAAAGGGAGAAGTCAAAGTGACTTATATCCCTACTATAGATATGATTGCTGATCCTTTGACAAAAGGAATACCAACGGAATCTTTTATCAAACATGTAAGTTTGATGGGACTTAGGAATAAATAAGTCCAAGTAAAATTTCATGAATAATGAAATAAGAGTTACTCTCTACGGATAGTGGGAGTAATGATAAGCAGAAACATCTGATCTTACGGATAGTGGGAGGCATGTCACTTGGTTAATTTGGTCAAGTGGGAGATGTTAGCTTGACTCGGTCATGGTGACCAAATCAACGATTCTCAGTAGAGAGAATTGTGGAACGTGAAAACGTGGAATGGTTGTTGAGAGAAAATCTCTCATTGGGGCGGATCTTGGGGGGTGAAGTTAGTGGGTTCAGCCCCTATAAATGGAGGAGTAATTCTCCTTGAGAAATCACAACGAAGAAGGTGAAAAACCTCTTACCCATTAGCGGAACCCCCGTCAATACCTGTTCTTCCTTCTTCTCTGAGATCAAATGAATTAGTAGAGGGCATTTATTCCAATCTCATTTATACTGATATAAAATTCGATCAATATCGGTATTTACTATTTGCAATGGTCTAAAATTCATAGCAAGTGTAAGATACATAATTCATTTTATTCCTTTCCTATATGTTTGAAAAAAAAGCATAGGAAGCATGAAAGTAATAAAATAGGATTTTTTTATTATATTGATTTAGAATCTATTACTAGATAGTTTTCTCCTCCTTCCTCCTCGTATACAACTTCCTATTGAGCGCCCTCTACTAGATTTCTTCCAGCATTCATGGTGGGCTTATACTTCATAATGGGTTGTTTGGTTTGAAAGGATTTTTTTTGGGGGAAAAGAAGTCTTCCACGGCTTTAGGTTAAAAATAGATTTGAAATGAGTTAAAAATAGATTTGATCATAATACGGTGATAATTCATCTCATCTCATCTTTTTTCTTAGTTTTAAGAAACGAACCAAATAAAAGAAAAAAAAAACTTATTATAGAAAATATGTTTCTTATAATTAATTTCATTATTTTTTTAGCCAACCATACAAAAAATTTAAGGAAATAGGCATCGGAAACCTCGCGCCACATCATGAAAACGAGAAATGTCATTTCTGAGATTGGACAGAAAACATGGGAAACAATAATAAAAAATTGCTCTACTCATTTATTATCAATCATTGATGTCTTTTTTATGATTTGGTTTTGCCAACCAAAACATTAGATTGCATAGAAATGGTTTTCCATCCTTCATTTATCGTGAAATAAGCATTAAAAAAAATGCAATTTCCATAAAATAACTAGAAAAATATGGAAATAAATTTTTTGCATGAAAACCTATTTCCTACCAAAAAGGTTTTCATGCAAAAAAATGCTAAATGTACGGCGATGGTTGTACTATTCTTGTACTACTAGGTACAAAGAAGTATGGTCCGTAGTAACTCATTATTTTTCTTTACAATTTATATAGGAAATGATCTCAATCTTTATGGGTGGTAGTACAAGAACAATATAATTCTTGTATTAGTAAAGTTTTTGCTACTCATTTTCCTATAATCTAGAGAAACCCACCAAAACAGGCCCTTAGAAAGTCTTTTGAGCCTTTGAGGGCCTTTGAGGATAATATATAACCTATTGGATCCGGATCAATGACAAACCTAACCGGACCCGATTACGGCGTACGGCAAACGCGAGCCGGTTAGCGCTCACAAAAATCGCCAAGAAAAGAACCTCTCTTAACCCCTCAGCAAACTAAATAATTCCAGACTTGACCCATTTCCTCACTCCAACCCCCGTTCGAATAAGCTTTCCCTCCCTCGTAAACAAATCAAAAAATTACAAAAACCCCCCTCGATTCCCCATTCCCGCCTCAATCCCTTCCATCGCCTCTTCAAACCCTACAATTTCTCTCCCCTCCCCCTCTTCATATCATTGATCGAGACCCAGGGTTCGCAGAATGGATCCTCAGATCCTCGTCGCCCTCGGCCTCTCCCTTGTCGGCGGGCTCAGCACCTCAATTGGTTCGATTCTGGGTTTTGATGTCATTTTCTTAAAATTTGTAGCTTTTTTTTAAAAACCCGTTCTCAATACGTTTTTGCCCCCCCTTTTGGTTCTTAAAAAGTTAAAAACTGATGTTTTTTATAGAGAAAGTTTTTTTTTTTACTTGTTACAGCTAGTTGATTTGTGATGTAGAGCAGCTTATGGAAATTATAATGTAGTTAGCTTAGAATGTTGATATAGATTTGTGGTAAGCTTCGTTTTGAGGGAGATTTGCTTATTAACGGAATGATAGGAGAAGATTACGCAAATTTAAACAGGGTATCATTATGAATATGCATGACCTCAATTGTGTAGTGTAGGGTAGATTAAAATCAAAAGGAAAAAAGATACATTTTTAATAGATTTATGAGTGTGCATGACCTCAATTGATGCTTTTGCTGAATTAAGTGATAGCTTCATCAGCGGCCATTAAGGGCTCTATAAAATTCTTTGTAATATAAAACATTCTTTACTTCTCCTTGATGGAAATTGTTTCTCGGTGGAGACCGGATATGTTGGGGAAATTACCCACTAAACCAGAGAATAGAACAATCACAAACACAATATTTACGTGGTTCGATCAAATTGATCTACGTCCACGGCAAGAGGGTGTATCACTATATTCAATCTCAACATACAACACTCATACAAAATATTGAGAGCTCACAGATTTCTTGTGTGGCTTTCTCTCTCTTTTTCTCTCAATCACTCTCTGCTGGTTTGGAGTTTTGGAGTGCGTTTTACAGAGGAAGAGAGGGGGGTTTTATAGCTTCCATGCCTTCTCTTTTGTCAACAAATTCGGCACCTCCTCTCTCTTGATGTCAACAACGGAGGCTGCACCTCCCCCTCTCTCTTGATGTCAACAATTGAGGCCACCGAAAGTTTTGTTGGCCTCAATTGTTGACTAACAATGACTAACAATCTCCACCTCGGTGAAGTTTTCCCAAAAAACTGAGCCGACACCAATAACTAGTGAGTCTTCACCCATCTTGCAAACAATGCCCCAAAAGGGGCCACTTAACAAGTGCGAATGCCTCCCAAATTCAAGCAGTGCTTGAACTTGAAGGCCGGGATCGGTTTGGTCAACATGTCAGCTGGGTTGTCTGCAGTACCTATCTTTTTCATCGTGATGTTTCTTTCAGCAGTTGCCTCACGAATGAAATGATATCTGACATCAATATGCTTTGTCCTCTCATGATGTGCTGAGTTTTTGCTTAGATGTATTGCGCTCTGATTGTCGCAAAATACAACTGAACTAGCCTCCTGCTGTAGTCCAAGCTCACTCACGAGATTTCTCAACCAAATGGCTTCTTTTACCGCTTCTGCTGCTGCCATGTATTCTACCTCTGTGGTAGACAAAGTAACTGTCGACTGTAGAGTCGATCTCCAACTAATAGCTGAGCCAGAAAGAGTAAAAAGATAACCAGTCAAAGATCTCCTTTTATCGAGATCACCTGCATAGTCAGAATCCACAAAACCTACAACTGAGGTTCCCAAAGTACTGCTATCAAAAACTAAACCCAAATCTGAGGTACCCCTGAGATACCGAAGGATCCACTTTACTGCTTCCCAGTGTGCCTTCCCTGGTTGAGCCATGTATCTGCTCACTACACTGACTGCCTGGGCAATGTCTGGACGAGTGCAAATCATAGCATACATTATGCTACCCACTGCATTGGAGTATGGAACTCGGGACATCTCCTTCTTCTCGTTCTCACTTGTAGGTGAATCTGAAGCCGAGAGCCTAAAGTGAGGAGCCAAAGGAGTCGTAACGGGCTTGGCCTTCTTCATCCCAAAGCGTTCAAGCACCTTTTCAATATAACTCTTCTGTGAGAGATATAAAGTTCCAGCTTTCCTGTCCCTCCTGATCTCCATACCTAAGATCTTCTTTGCTGCACCAAGATCTTTCATCTCAAACTCATCACTGAGTTGTTTCTTCAAAATAAGAATCTGCGACATGTTCTTAGCAGCAATAAGCATGTCATCGACATATAATAGAAGATAAATAAAAGAATCATCTCCTAGATGCATGTAGTACACACAACTATCATAAGTACTTCTTGAGTACCCATGACTAAGCATAAAATTATCAAACCTCTTGTACCACTGTCTGGGAGATTGCTTCAGGCCGTACAAAGATTTCTTCAATCTGCAAACTTGATCTTCTTTACCTTCTACGAAGTATCCCTCTGGCTGAGACATGTAGATAGTCTCCTCAAGTTCGCCATGTAAAAATGCAGTCTTCACATCAAGCTGCTCAAGCTCCAGATCAAATAGAGCAACCATGGCAAGCAATACACGGATGGAGGTATGCTTTACAACCGGAGAGAACACTTCATCATAGTCAATTCCCTCCTTTTGTCTATAACCCTTAGCCACCAACCGTGCTTTGAATCTAGCATCTTCAACCCCTGGGATCCCTTCTTTCTTCTTGAAAATCCACTTGCATCCAATTGCCCTTTTACCCTTAGGTAATTGCACCAAATCCCAAGTCTGATTCTTGTAGAGTGACTCGAGTTCTTCTGTCATAGCTGTGGCCCAACGTCCAGATTCTCCGCATGAGACAGCTTCAGTAAAGTTTGATGGCTCTTGAATACTCATCTCTTCAGCTGTCGTGAGAGCATACGCCACTAATTCAGCATGTGCATATCTTTGAGGAGGTTTGATCTGTCTCCTCTCTCTGCCAGTGGCTATGGAATAAGGTTCTTCAGTCTCAGCATCATCAGCATCTGAGCCTGAATCATGTTGCTCTTCTACAGCTGTAGGAGCAAATTTTATAGACGACTTTTGAGACGTCTCTCCCTCGAGCTCCACCTGAAGCTCCACCTTATCCATGGTCTTCTCTACATTTCCTGTAGACTCAACAGAAACCTTCCCATGATCAAGCATATATCTTTCATTAAAAGTAACATCTCTACTAATAATGAATTTAGGAGAATCAGGTTCAAGACTCCACAAACGATAGCCTTTAATGCCATCAGCATAACCAATAAATATGTATTTCTTAGCTCTAGGCTCAAGCTTACCCTCTCTAACATGATAGTAAGCAGGGCATCCAAATACCTTTAAATTTGAATAGTCATTTGGTTTACCTGACCATACCTCATTTGGAGTCTTGTGTTCAATGGCTGTAGAAGGAGACCGATTCACCAAGTAACAAGCTGTGTTAACAGCTTCAGCCCAGAAGCCTTTATCCAAGCCAGAGTTTGAGAGCATACACCTAGCTCTCTCCATCAACGTTCTATTCATGCGTTCTGCCACCCCGTTTTGCTGAGGAGTGTGCCTGACCGTGCGATGTCGTACGATCCCAGAATTTGAGCAGAACTGATTGAACTCACCACTGCAGAACTCTAAGCCATTATCTGTTCGGAGACGTTTAATCTTCTTTCCAGTTTGATTCTCAACAAGTACTTTCCACTTCTTGAAAGTTTCGAACACCTCGCTTTTGCGCCTGAGAAAGTAAACCCAAACTTTCCTGGAAAAATCATCAATAAACGTTAGAAAATAAAGAGCACCACCTTTGGATGGAACCTGAGCAGGTCCCCATAAATCTGAATGGATGTAGTCGAGAGTGCCCTTCGTCGTATGTGAGCCAGTCGAGAAGCTGACCCGAGTTTGCTTCCCAAACACACAATGCTCACAGAAATCCAGTGATGATGTATGATCACCACAGAGTAAGCCACGTTTACTCAAAATAGTCATTCCCTTCTCACTCATGTGGCCTAAGCGCATGTGCCACAACTGAGTAGTGTCCCTATCAGCATCAGAAGACATACCTGCAGAGCCTGTCACCGTACTGCCTTGGAGAACATAAAGACTGTTCACCTTACTACCTTTCATCACAACCAATGAACCCTTAGTAACTCTAAGAGCTCCGCCTTCGCCAGTGTAAGAACACCCAATAGAATCCAAAGAACTCAAAGAAATCAAATTTTTCTTTAAGTCTGGGATGTGTCTCACATCTGATAAAGTTCTCACTATCCCATCGTGACACCGGATGCGAACTGTACCAATGCCAACTGTCTTGCAAACTGTATTGTTGCCCATCAAAACTGATCCACCACTTATAGATCTGTAAGTAGTGAACCAATCTTTATTTGGACACATATGAAAAGACGCACCTGTATCCAAGATCCATTCTTTATCGGAACGGCCATCCAAGGGACATACTGTAAGAACCGTCTCAACAACAACGACAATATTAGCCTTTGCCGTATTAGCTGAATCTGAGGTTTCACCACGCTGGTTGTCTTTCTTCTTTAGAGCATAACATTCTGACTTGTAATGCCCTTTCTTGTGACAGTAGAAACACTCCACATTTTTCTTGTTTGGGGCTGACCTGGACTTTGAGCGATTTCTGGATTGCCCTTTATCACCCTCTCTGGCCTTCGATCTACCTCTGGCTAGCAGACCATCAGCCTGCCCATCGGTACCTCTCCCATTCAACTTTGTTCTCAACTCAGCAGAGTTCAAAGAGGCCTTCACATCCTCAAGACTTATGGATTCTCTTCCATACAACATAGAGTTAACAAAGTTTTCATAAGAGTTAGGCAATGAACATAACACAATGAGAGCCTGGTCTTCATCATCAAGTTTAAGATCCAGGTTTTTCATATCCATGACAATTTTATTAAATTCATCAAGGTGTTCCTGAATGGGTGTACCTTCCTTCATCTTCAGTGTGTATAGCCGCTGCTTCAGGTATAATCTCGTAGTAAGAGATTTCTTCAAGTAGAGACTTTCGAGCTTTGACCACAACCCCGCTGCCGTTTCCTCATCGGCAACTTCACGAAGCACATTGTCGGATAGTGACAATTGCAAGGCGCTGTGAGCCTTTTCGTCCATCTCTTCGATCTCGGCACTAGTCATATCTTCTGGGTATTTCCCATCGATAGCTTTAACCGTGCCTTCACGTCGCAACAAAGCCTTCATCTTTATCCTCCATAGGCCGAAATTATTTTGGCCATCAAAGATCGACACCGAGAACTTCACAGAAGCCATTGTGGAGGATTGAAAGCTGTCCTAGAACCGAGAAGCTCTGATACCAGTTTGTTGGGGAAATTACCCACTAAACCAGAGAATAGAACAATCACAAACACAATATTTACGTGGTTCGATCAAATTGATCTACGTCCACGGCAAGAGGGTGTATCACTATATTCAATCTCAACATACAACACTCATACAAAATATTGAGAGCTCACAGATTTCTTGTGTGGCTTTCTCTCTCTTTTTCTCTCAATCACTCTCTGCTGGTTTGGAGTTTTGGAGTGCGTTTTACAGAGGAAGAGAGGGGGGTTTTATAGCTTCCATGCCTTCTCTTTTGTCAACAAATTCGGCACCTCCTCTCTCTTGATGTCAACAACGGAGGCTGCACCTCCCCCTCTCTCTTGATGTCAACAATTGAGGCTGCACCTCCCCCTCTCTCTTGATGTCAACAATTGAGGCCACCGAAAGTTTTGTTGGCCTCAATTGTTGACTAACAATGACTAACAGGATAGAAACTAATGATAGTTTTGTGCTTGGTTCAGGTGCACTTTTTGTGGTTCTTACTCATACTCCCAATCTCAAATTACTTGGTCTTCTACAGGTGTTTTTTTTATTTATTTTTGATTCCCTTTTCCTGTTGCACTTAAGGAAGATTTCAGTTTAGATTGGTTTTTTTCTGATCAGGGTTTTGCTGCTGGCCTCATGCTGAGCATGTCATTTTTGGACTTGACCCATAATGCTCTGAACTCCGTTGGCTTTCTAAAGGGTAACCTTTGGGTGAGACTTATTATTATTGTTATTATTATTATTAAATTGCTGGCAATCTAGCAGGGTCTGATATTGGAATTTAGAAGTCATCACCTTCATCTTAACGCATATTCATTCTATAACCGGTTAACTTTATCTAAAAAAATTATTTTATCATGCAGTTTTGTGCGGGAGTTATTTCTTTTGCAATTGTTGTTACTTTTATACCTGAACCTTCACTTGTTCCAAGAACAGATGTAGGTAACAAAAAGGTATGGACCTTCGAATGCAGTTTACCTTGATTCAGAAATATTGTACTTCTGCGTGTAGATTCTAGTCATGTTCCTAGTATGGATGGGCATTCAGGATATTCATTTACTTGTTTGCTTTCGTGGTAACAGGATGATGATGATGATGGATCAGGTAAAGCCATTATGAAGAAGCATCGCCGGCAGGTCTTATTTAGTGGAATTATCACTGCAGTTGGTAAGCATGCTCTGCTGTTTAGAATGTATCTTTCCGTTCTCTGTATTCTAAATTCATCGACACCTAGAGTAGCAAAATTCATTTTGGAGAATTAGTCTTTAGGGTTATTTTTCTCTTTCTCAAGCTCCTAGTTTCATCTTTAGTCCTGTACATGACAATATTCCCACCAGAATTAGCGTGATTCTATGTGATATATTTGCATTATTAGGGACCAAAGGCATGATCTATCTCTAGACATGTATTGATGATTATCTGCACCTTCATCATTCTACGTCATTTATGATCGCAGATCAAGAATGTTGATATGGATAACTGAATTTAGATTATAATCTGAATGATGCAACTAAAAGAGTTTGATTGATACCTTTGTATAGTTTTTACATTTTCTTAGTTCAGGATTATGATTACTCTAGTAACTTCTTCTTTATATTTTTTAGTGTATAAATTAGGACTTGATGAATGACTTGGTTATGCAAATTCGGAAAGCTGAGCTATTTTACTCATCTGCTTAGCCTGCCATATCACAGACTACATTTGTCTGTCAGATAACTAATGACCACCTTCTTGGTTTTATCTAATGAATTATTTTCCTTTCTATAAGTTGCAGGTATTAGTTTGCACAACTTCCCTAAGGGAGTGGCAGTGTTCCTTGGTTCAATGAAGGTGTGGTTTTTAATTTTTCTTTTGCAAAATATGGTGTAGCAAGATTCACAGAATAAAGTTCCAGATACACCTGTTTGCTTTCATACATAGAGCTGTTGAATAGACCTTCTTGAGACATAGTTCTTTTCTATTTTGAATACGATTGGATCTTATTGTTCTTGAATCGCTGTACCTTCAATTGGATCTTATTGTTCTTGAATCGCTGTTGACTAGACCTTCGTGGTCTCTGAGTCTCTATTCTTTGACCATCAGTCCATGAATTACCACACAATCTACCTTACCTTGTACTTATTCTGCCTGCTTTAACTGGTTACCGTAATATAACAAGACTTGATTGGAATTATCAGAAACGGTTTATATGAAAAAAAAATCACGAAAGTATGCTAGAGACAACATTTAAAATTGACTTGTTATGCAATAAGGGTACATGAATAACAAGCAAACAAGATCATGGTGCACAAATAGGTGGCGTGTGCCACACATGGGTAGGCATGCAGATTGACTCTGCATTGTTTGGAGTTGAAGTATTGCATTGGTATGCATGAGTTAGATTTGCATTCAGCGGTTGTACATACTTGGTTTGATGAATGAAAAATTATTATCATGAATGATGTAATAATATTGTCCTAGATGTGATAAATTGTAAACTTGGAATTGTTCATGGACCATTATTAACGTAGAATTGTAGACCATTATTAACGTATTACGCAATATGATAGCATTTTAAAAATGGCTTCCATTTAGGAAGCATAAAGTGTGCTGCAGTACTGGTTGGTTATTGTATATATTCTGCACAAAGTAGTAAACAAAGTGCTCTTGATTCCAATGGTTATACTTTTTTTTTTAAATTTTTTACAGGAACAGGGTAAGATATGTTATCTGTAGAAATTCCTGTCATGGGTCCATCTTATAATTGTATGTGTACTTTATTTATTAAAATTTCATTTCTGATGCTGCGTGTCCTAAATTAGGGGCTTCGTGTTGGCATTAACCTTGCTCTAGCTATTGCATTGCACAATATTCCAGAGGTATGTTTTCAATCTGAAACGTTCCCATATATGCAAACATAATCTGCCAACATCTGTTTCCCCCTTTATTATTTATTTGGAAGCTCATTTGGCGTTCAGCTATCATTAACACACTTTTTGCTCTTTTATTGAACTAATAATTCTTTTACTCTTGTGTTATTTATTTGGAATCCTTCTCGTTTAAAAGCCACCTGTCGTTAACAGTTTTACTCTTTTATTAAGTTAGTAAATTATAATTTTCAAACAAAAAGTTTCAAGCTTGTATTTGTGGTGTTTCTATACTTATTACTCCTGATTAGGCGCTTATTTTCATCTGTAGTTCTCATTATAATGATCTTTCTGTAGGGAGTTGCTATAGCCCTTCCTGTCCATTTTGCCACTCAAAGGTAAGGTTTCTAACTCCGCATGCATTTTTGGCAGTAGACTTGAATACATTTTGGTGTCAGCTTAGACGAGAATGAGATATTGATGGTACCATTTTTTGAACAATTTGTGTTGGCGAAGTCCCATCTTTTTATTTCACTGTCTACTAAATGTTTTTCGCTCCTCCCTTATGTTGTTTTTCATGAGCATTTAGATCCGAGTTAAAATAACTGCAGCAGTAACTATCTTTCTGAAAGTTATCTAATACATTTCCTTTATCGTAACATTTTTTTGGCGCAGCAAATGGCAGGCATTTAAACTGGCAAGTCTTTCTGGTTTTGCCGAGCCGCTAGGTGTAATTATTGTAGGTATGTGATCGCTTACTTTTATTTATATGCTAATTTTGACTTACATTGACTCTCGTTGCGACTTATTTCTTGTTTCTTTCTGATATATCATGTACTGAACCGATTTTTTCTTTCCCAAAATCTTGGCAATAGTTCGCATAGTGTCACCTTACAATGAAAATAATTACAGAGCTTGCTGACCTATTCCATTGTGGGACACCTGCAGTTTATCGTGTAGTTGTACTGTACTGGGTTTATTGAGTGAAAATTACAGAACACTTATCATCCTATAGACATGTATAAGCTTATTTAAGGACTGAAAAGATAGTTTTGAAGAAAGTCAGATAGTTTCATTCTCAACAGGTTACTTACATTAAGTTTCATATCTGGTATGCTATCATTCAGATTATCGAATATCCTATATATATGGATTTTTCCTGTAAATTCCTATGCATTTCATTAGAAATAAAACAACATCTAGGTATCACATAATTGGTTTAAAAGATAGCATGGTTTTATTTCTTTGAATAATTGCAAAAAGACTTGTCTATTCTAAATGCAGCTTATCTCTTCCCAACCGGTCTAAGTCCTGAAATTCTTGAAGGCTTACTTGGAGCAGGTTTTTCCTCCTATTAAGCTGATCTTGTTTTATGCTCAAGTGACAATTTTTTTTGAGCTGCATTTTAACTGACTGATTTGTCTTTTGTACAGTCGGTGGAGTTATGGCTTTTCTCGCTTTACATGAAATGCTTCCGGTGGCAATTGACTATGCTGGCCAAAAGCAAGCTGTGAAAGCGGTCTTTGTTGGGATGGCTTTCATGTCTGCAAGGTCGGTTCCCAACAAGTAGAATAATTTACCTTTTCGTCGTCATTCTCATTTAACATCAAATTCTAAAGGAAGCATTTGTTTCATCTCATAACAAAATGCTTTTTTGCTAATGTTGCTTTGAATCAATTTCGCGTTTTGTAATTCCCCAATGAATTGGGTTGGGGTTGCATCGGTTGAGGAATGATTTGTATATTGATAGTAACAAAGAATGAAACTCATGGACAAGGGAAGATCTACGTTTACAGTTGTGACACTAATCCTTCTCTTGGGTTTGGTTTTGATCTGTGTTTTTTTCATTGTCTTGGCAGCCTATACTTTGTAGAAATCAGCTTGCCAAAGGAAATGAGTGTGTAAACGTGCGATGGTCTATCAATTACTGTTGCAGAAACACATTCTTTGTACATTCCAGAAACTAGGCAGGTCCTTCTCTTGTCAATATATACAAACTGTAATCTGTATATTCGTTCAAAGGAATAAAATTGTTGGCATTACATTTCTTGTACATCTTTTTCCATAACATTTGGATATCCTCTTACTTGAAATTGAAACTGATCTTTGTCGATCAGCCGACCCTTTTGACAAAAACAAAAGAGCACCGAAAGAGCTTACAGTTGTTGACAAAGGAAAATAAAACAAAAATGGCAGGCCTCACAGCATAGTAAAATATTAATATTTTATTATGCATAGTATTTTTCCAAACACTATAAATAGACTCCAAATCCTTAAGAAAAAACTCATCCCAGAAACAACTTCTCTTGTAGAAGAGTGGGAGAAAAGAGAGAGAGAGAGTATCTCCTGTTGTGCGCAGCGGAAATTTCGGCAGAGTTTCTGGTACACAATAAGATAGAAAGATCGATGAGAATTCATGTCTCACCAAGGAAACAAGAATCTGAAGTGAATATCTCAACAAAGTGGGATATCAGCTCTTCCTCTCATCAGTTCTAGGACTGACTTGTCGAGGGAACCTAATAAACTATTACAATGGTCACAAACAGCAAATCACACAAGTTTTACGTGGTTCGGCAAATGGAAATGGAATACAAATAGGTTTACAACCACTAAAGATCTCATAAATAAACCCTCAATCTAATCTCTCAATTCCTCTCTCAAAATCAGCACTAGAGACTGCACAAAACTCTTACAAAAGCCGCCTCTTTTCTTCTCTGCCGAAAAGAAACTCAAAGCCGAAAACCAAATTCTCCTTTCACTCCGCCCGAAGCCAAAGAAGCCGTCTGCAGTTTTATTTCTCCTCTTGCACATGAAACCCTAGAAAGAACACGCTATATATAGCATCAAATGACATTCGGGTGGGCCTGTCAAAATCTCACTGCTGTTCACGTGCTCCTCAACGTGATCTTATGACGAGTTGAGAAAACGCGTCATTCACACAAAATTCGTGGCCCCCACGAGTCATGTCACGTCTTCGTTCGTTCACAGCCCCATGTCGTCTCGTCCTTATCATTTCACGCGTTCATAATTCTCCACCTCGGTGAAGTTTTCCCAAAACTGAGCCGACACCAACTAAACCAAAATGTCTCACTTGTTACGTCCAGTATGAAGTGAAACAATTCACAACAACAGACTCAATCTACAACAAGTCGAGAACCCAAACGAGAATGCGAACAAACTCCAAATCTCGGTATCAACTCAGCAAACCGGCTGTATCATAAATGACTGCCTACGTATCCTCTTGCCCAAGGAATCAAGCCTTCACGTAGTTCATCCAATGGCCTCCAAAGGGCTACGTATCCTCTTGCCCAAGGAATCAAGCCTTCACGTAGTTCATCCAATGGCCTCCAAAGGCCCTCAAACAAATAGAAAAGTCTGCAACTTAATCAAGCCTTCACGTAGTTCATCCAATGGCCTCCAAAGGCCCTCAAACAAATAGAAAAGTCTGCAACTTTTCCCCAATATCACCAACGGATCTGCAACTGATAGCGCTCCCAATGGCCCCAAACTGAAATGAATCAAACACCTCCATCTGAGGTGAACCAATGACCGTATCTAAATCATGTCCACCGGCTGCAACCGAATCCAAAAACAATCCATCATCTGCATCCAAATCCAAAAGATCCCCAAACTGTGTCACTTCAGCTAGAATCCCAAATGATGCAGTATGATCTAGAGTATGTGGAGTAATCTCCACCTAATGTGAAGTAGCATCACTCTTCACCCGCTGCGATACATCTAAGGTCTGTCCAAAACTCTCCACCTACTGAGAGTCAAATAGCTCCCTTGTCGAAGCCTCAACCGAAGTGACACTACCAGACCAAACACCCAATTGAGTTTTACCTCCTATCACAGCAGTTGACAACTCTTTAATAAGATGGTACAAATATGTCGAAGCCTCAGTCCAGAAACTCTTCTGCAGACCATTGCTTGACAACAAACATTGATCCTCCTCCAGCAAGGCACGGTTCTCCAAATTTGCCACCCTATCTAGTTGCCCCAAGATTTTCTTTCCAACGAAGTGTCTCGAAATGCCGTGAGCTCGGGTCCAATACAGAAATAGGTCCATCTTGTACCTCCTATCAAAATCAAAATGAAGTACCTCCACTTTTCTGTCTATCACACACTTCTTCAATTTGTTAGAGATTATTGGGACTTTCTCCAATGGGGATTTGGTTGCAACCCAAACACGCCTAGAGCATTCACCAACAAAGGAAACCAAACGCCTATTACCTCCCAATGATGCCCCCTTGAAAGGCCCCCAAACATCCACATGAACTCCTCTAGAATGACCCTTAACACGGTGAATAGAGGTGCCAAACTTCACCTCGGTCTTCTTGCCCACATCAACATGTTCACTGGACTTCAAGCTGCAGGTCTTCGCACCCTCTTTCAATCTATGCAAGGAATCAATACTAGAATGACCAAGCCCCAAATACCATAGTCTAGTCAAATCAACAGAAGTCGCCAGCTCTCCACCTGTCACTATACCTCCAGTCAAGTAATACATGTTATTCCTCCTGACGCCCTTCATCACAATCTGAGAGTCTTCCACGATCTCGAGAACCATGTCCTCAACACGAACCTTCAGACTCTCTCCAACCAAAGCTCCAATCGAGATCAAGTTCTTCCTCAAGGAAGGAACATATCTCACATCATATAACTCCCTAACAGTCCCGTCAAACATCTTGATACGAATTCTTCCTATCCCAAGGATCTGACATGCACGGTTATCAACCATGTACACCACACCACTATCCAGCTTTTCAAAACTAGAGAACCATTTCCTTCTAGGGCACACATGATAGGTCGCATCACTATCCAACATCCATTCAGATTCCTCTGAATAGCTATCTGTAGGACTGATAGAAAGTGAATAAATAGAAAAGTCAGAAATATTACCATCCGATATAACAATATTTGCTTCTGATAATGGTTGCTTTCCTTTTCCCTTCTGCTTATTCTTCATCCATTCGTCGAGCTTTGGATAGTCTTTCTTCCAATGATCAGTCTCCTTGCACCAAGCACACTGATCTTTTCTAATTGTAGGATGTCCTACTCTAGACTGTAACTTTTAATTCTTCCGGTTTGGATTCTTCCCTCTTACGATCAATGCTTCTGTTACCGGCTCAACTGAAGCCTCCTTATCCTTCTTTCGAAGCTGATAATTTATAAGTGCAGCGGTGACCTTACTATACGAAAGAGATCCCTTCCCATTAATAAGAGTAAAGACGAAGGTCTTAAATTCCTCGTCAGGCAAGGAACTCAACAGCAACAACGCCTTGTCCTTATCTTCAATCATAACATCCACATTCGCCAAATCCGCAAGAAGCTTCGTGTAGTGATTCATGTGATCTCTAATTGAGGTTCCCTTCTTCAACTGGAAACGATAAAGTCTCCTCTTCAAATGCAAGCAATTCTCAATACTCTTTGTCAGATACTTGCTTTCGAGAATCTCCCAAATCTTCCTCGCAGAAATATCATTCATGTAGGCTGTCTAAAAATCATAATAGATAGCTTATCCCTCATCAAACACCGATGATGGAAGTTACAATCTGACGACTTCCAGAAGGCTACAATTTGAAGACTTTCACGTAGATCGCTGAAGGTTACAATCTGACGACCTTCACGACAACCGATGAGAGCTCTAGTTCAACAGCATTCACAATCAACATCGGGAGTTACAATCTGACGACTCTCATATTCTCAAGGAGCCAAGACGAAGATTACAAGACAATGATCTTTACAACGCTATGACAAAAGAGACTGCTTTGTGATAATCTCTTCAAGACAAGACGCGGAGGTCCTCCCCGTGTGTCAACATCAAAATGCCGGGGTCGAACACGCGTTACAACATCAAAACGCGAGGGTCGAACCCACGTTACAACATCAAAACGCCAGGGTCAAACCCGCGTTACAACATCAAAACGCTGGAGTCGGACCCGCGTTACAACAAGCGAAACGTGAGCGACCCTCGCGTTCTGGATGTTCAGTCAACACCCAACCTCGCGTCTCAATCCTAAGACGCGAGGTTAGGATCCTGAACGCCAACGTGGGCGTTTGACTCATTCAAATATGAGTCGAACGGTTTCAGAACCATTTTCCCCACGATCTGAGGAAATCACGCCCACTTAGGAGCGGAGTTAGAGGGCAGTTACACCCCCTTAATCCCCTATAAAAGCGAGTAAACTCAACTGAGTTAAAGGTGGGATTTTTCTTGGCTTGAATCGACCATTGAGGGCTGGCTTTTTGGAACGGAA